AAATTGTCAATTACAATTGGCTGATTTGTAATATTTCCAATAGAATGAAGTTTTAACGATAAAATTTAAATAATTGAATATAAAAGACTAAATCAAAATTGTATCCGAATAAAGCAAAAATGCGTGATGAGTACCTCAAAAAAAAATAAAAACAAAAATAATAGAGAAATACACTACCCGTAGTCAGTAGAAAAAGAATTGTCAGGATCTGAACTAGGGCTAATATCTACAGATGCAGTACAAACATGTTCCTTCCAGATGTGTTTAATAAGTTCTGTTTTAAACACACCTGGTCTGATAATCTCTCGAAGGGAAAGAGGAAGTCGGTTCCAAGTGGGATGAGCTCGATAAAAGTAAGATTTAGATATAGCTAAGCCAGGTGGAATTGAAGATATTACTGATAAGTGATCAAGATGTGAGCTTCTCAGTCGGCTTGACCGAGCACTGGAGTAGCCCTGCTGAACGGAACCGAGCTCTCCACCCTCATTCTGAACATGCTCATTGAAATCTGTAGCTTCTATCCTAGCCGGGAGGAGGACGGAGGTGAGTTGAAGTGTAACCATCACTGTAACCATAGTAACCATAGTAACCATAGTAACCATAGTAACCATAGTAACCATCATAGTAACCATAGTAACCATCATAGTAACCATCAGAGTAACCATAGCAACCATTGTGATTATCATTTTAATCATTGTAATAATTTTAAACATTGTCACCAATTTCGTAATTTAAATAACTTCCCAAGTATTATCCGACCCATCCCTCGAGCGAAAAGGATCCTATTTGAGAACTGTTTGCCTCCCTGTACGGTCTATGCACACTCCCTGCACGGTCTATGCACACTCCCTGCACGGTCCCTGCACAGTAACATATGAACACCGGACCCTAGCCGGCTAGTAGCCACTTTTGTAATAACAGCTCCTCAACTTCACATTACCTAACCGGCTACTAACCGGCACTTGAAAAGTGGTCACTAGCCGGCTACTAACCGGCTACTAGCCGGCTAGTGACCACAAAGTGGCTACTAACCGGCTACTAGGTGGTTACTAGCCGGCTATTAGCTGAGCTCTAAAGCAGACCTACTATCTAGAGGTTCCAAACCGGTTTGGGACCTCGAGAAAGTAGGTCTGCTTTAGAGCCAAACTAATAGCCGGCTAGTGACCGGTTAGTAGCCACTTGGTGGCTACAAGCCGGTTAGTAGCCGGCTAGTGACCACTTTTCAAGTGCCGGCTAGTAGCCGGCTAGTAGCCGGTTTGGAACGTCGATAAAGTTAGTCTGCTTTAGAGCTCAGCTAATAGCCGGCTAGTGACCACCTAGTAGCCGCTTAGTAGCCACTTTGTGGTCACTAGCCGGCTAGTAGCCGGTTAGTAGGTTAAACAGTTTATGCCTAGAGCAGCGATCAAAGATCAAATTATTCATAGCACAAACATTACCAGGGATTTTCTAATGTCCATTGGGGTGGACTGGTGGAATTGCTTGTACAAAAACACGTGCATTTGGATAAAGTTTTTTGCTGTCTTCATTAGGTCACTCACAGGGGTCTTGAGATGATTGACACCCTGGGTACAGTACCGGATGTCGTTGGCACCGAAGCTTAAGAACAGTTTCTTTACCTGCACAAGAGGGTTCTTTGTATGAAAGGCCTCAATAGAGTTCTGTATAGCTGAGATCTTAAGCCCACTCTTAGCTATGTTGGTGACAGTTTCTTTACCTCTACTGAGGCGATCAGCGTCCAATCGGGCAGCAAAGGATTCACCAGCAATGAGGATGATAGACTTCTGGTTTTTGTGGGAGTCTGTGATGGGAGCTTTTAGAGATACTTAATTAGGACTGTCGGATGTAGGAGAGGTAAGAATAGGAGATGAAGGGGAAGAGGAGGGTGTGGTTAACTTTCCAACAAATTTCATTGTCAGAAGGTGCAACTCCTGGGGCAATCCTGTGCCTCAACACTTGCTGTGTACAAGGCTTCATGATGTTCAGTGTGCCATTGGTGGCAGGGAGGGTGAAGTCTGTGCTAATCAACTCTCGGGATAGCCTTGACCTAGTTGTGCGTTTTTCTACTTGGGTTGTATCGAGCACAAACTCAAGTTGCCGCGACGGCAACTTGGTCGTTTAGCTCCGGACAGTCTATGCAACGTCTATGCAACGTCCATGCAACAACAAAAGAACCGTCTATGCAACGTCCCTGCACAATGAACACTCTATGCACACTCCCTGCACGGTCAGTCTATGCAACGTCTATGCAACGTCTATGCAACGTCTATGCAACGTCCCTGCACAGTACCATATGAACACCGGCTACTAGCCGGCTACTAGCCGGCTACTAGCCACTTTTGTAATAACAGCTCCTCAACTTCACATTAACAACCGGCTACTAACCGGCACTTGAAAAGTGGTCACTAGCCGGCTACTAACCGGCTACTAGCCGGCTAGTGACCATAAAGTGGCTACTAACCGGCTACTAAGCGGTCACTAGCCGGCTATTAGCCGAGCTCTAAAGCAGACCTACTAGTAGCCGGTTCCAAACCGGCTACTAGCCGGCACTTAGAAAGCGGTCACTAGCCGGCTACTAACCGGCTACTAACCGGCTAGTAACCACCAAGTGGCTACTAACCGGCTACTAACCGGTCACTAGCCGGCTCTTAAGCGGACCTACTAGCCGGCACTCGAAAAGCGGTCGCTAGCCGGCTACTAACCGGCTAGTAACCACCAAGTGGCTACTAACCGGCTACTAACCGGCTACTAACCGGTCACTAGCCGGCTCTTAAGCGGACCTACTAGTAGCCGGTTCCAAACCGGCTACTAGCCGGCACTTAGAAAGCGGTCACTAGCCGGCTACTAACCGGCTACTAACCGGCTAGTAACCACCAAGTGGCTACTAACCGGCTACTAACCGGTCACTAGCCGGCTCTTAAGCGGACCTACTAGCCGACACTCGAAAAGCGGTCGCTAGCCGGCTGCTAACCGGTTACTAACCGGCTAGTAACCACCAAGTGGCTACTAACCGGTCACTAGCCGGCTCTAAAGCGGACCTTCTAGTTCCAAACCGGCTACTAGCCGACACTTGAAAAGCAGTCACTAGCCGGCTACTAACCGGCTACTAACCGGCTAGTAACCACCAAGTGGCTACTAACCGGTCACTAGCCGGCTCTAAAGCGGACCTTCTAGTTCCAAACCGGCTACTAGCCGACACTTGAAAAGCGGTCACTAGCCGGCTACTAACCGGCTACTAACCGGCCAGTAACCACCAAGTGGCTACTAACCGGTCACTAGCCGGCTCTAAAGCGGACCTTCTAGTTCCAAACCGGCTACTAGCCGACACTTGAAAAGCGGTCACTAGCCGGCTGGTGGGTACTAACCAGCTAGTACCCACCAAGTGGCTACCAACCGGCTACTAACCGGCTACTAACCGGCTAGTACTAACCTGCTCTAGGCGACTCTAAATCAGACCGGCTATAATTCATTATTGCCAAATTATTTGAAATTTATTATTTGAAACACGTTATTTGAAAGTAAGTTCCAAAATCGATTACAACATTTTTATGAAAAATAAAAAAATACTGAAAACTGATTACATTCAATTTCTTCGTGGTGGAGGAGCAGTGTAATTGTTTTTGGGCGCTAGGACGACGCCTTGGGTACAAAGGGTCCTAAGAGTGGCAAGATTACGGTTGCAGATCTCGTTTGCGAAGGTGTAAACACTAGGAAGTCTGACGTCTCGTAGTTGCAGCAGTGCGTGTTGGACACCTGGTAGGTCAACTTTTGCTGCTTCAGCGATACATCGCTTTCTTGAGAAGTGACTCCGAGAAATGTGTATCTGCTCCAGAGCGGCAGACTTTGAGAGACCAGAGTTGACTAGCTGCACAACGGCGTCGTATTCCGCTATAACCCCGTCTAAAGAAAATATCCGCCTCGTTCTGCGACCAGTAGGCAGAGCAGCAGCATTGGGAGCAGGTTGCTGATCAGTAGCAGGTTGGTGTCCAGGAGCAGCTTGCTGAGCAGGAGGTTGAGGAGAATTGGGAGCAGGTTGTTGATCAGTAACAGGTTGCTGTGCAGGTTGAGGAGCTGGAGGTTGAGCTGGAGGTTGAGGAGCTGGAGGTTGAGGAGCTGGAGGTTGAGGAGCTGGAGGTTGAGGAGCTGGAGGTTGAGGAGCTGGAGGTTGAGGAGCTGGAGGTTGAGGAGCTGGAGGTTGAGGAGCTGGAGGTTGAGGAGCTGGAGGTTGAGGAGCTGGAGGTTGAGGAGCTGGAGGTTGAGGAGCTGGAGGTTGAGGCGGTTGAGGAGCAGCAGCGGTACGAGGAGCTAGTCCTGGAACAGTGGGAGGAGGAGGGGGTGGGGTAGGTCTTGAAGTAGAAGAGGTTCTAAGTCGGTGATTGGTGGTGGGGATAGGTCTGTTTGGTCGAATTGTGGGTGTAGAGTGCAGGGAGCACGGATCGATGTGTACTATAATCTGTATATAATCTGCAGGCAGTACATCTGAGGGAGGGAAGGTCGGGACTGTAAGTCCTTCTGGAGCAGATTGAGGAGATGTGACCGGTAGACCCACAGTGATCGCATTTAGGAGCAGGTGTAGGAGCGGTATATCTGTTTCTTCTGGTCCGCATGTTGATTAAGAGTAAAGAATGATGTATAGTAAAGAACGATGTAAAGAACGAGGGATAAATAAGTTGGTGGCTAATGCTACTTATATAGTTTTTGGAAAGGCCTGCAGGTCCGTCAGGGCTCGTTATACCCATCGTTAGGATTTGACGTGACACCATGCATGATAGATCAGATCAAATAACCATGGGTACCCATGGTTATTTGATCTGATCTATCATGCATGGTGTCACGTCAAATCCTAACGATTGCGGTGATCCGTTAGAACTCAATTGGGGATCACATCGTTTTCACTGATCACATCCCTGCAGGGATTCTTATGCAAAAGGAGGGATATAACCTAAACAATCTTGATAAAAGGATTAAAAAATGACTATGATACTTGATGTGTCCCATATCATAAATAATTTGGGATCCATCAGTTTCGGTTCGGTTTATCGATCGTTTCTTAATAAAGTGGGAGCAAGCGGAGCATTCGTCTATTTTCAAAATGTAATAAATGCGATATTACTCGTCAGCCAGCGCAGGCCAGCGCAATATAGTTGCGATATTGTTCGTCAGCTACTGCTAGCGCCGGCCAGCGCTGGCTAGCGCCATGTATCGAAATCGGCTCTAACTAATTCGCTCGCCCAAATTTTCACGTGACGTTTCTATGGTTTTGCAGCCAAACAAAACGGTTTTACAGACACCCTAATCCCAACCTTAACCCTAACCCCGAAGCTATTCATAACCCTAACCACAACCGTGGTCACTATTAACCTATGTCTCTATTAACCAATGTAAACAGTTCTGCGTGAGAAATTCGAGCTAGCTTGCTCAGGGGCTAAATTGGCCAAATAAGCTCATTGAAGCTAGCACTCACACAACACTTGCCACAATGACCACCGCGAGCTGATTACTCGTGAGGTCGAAATGGGCGCTGGGTGCGATATTTCTGAAATTTTGCCTGTTGGTTCGGTGGATGATTTTAGCCACAGCGCCTTAAAATTAGCAAGATCGCAGGTAATCACACAAAGTTACAGCTAATTTAGTGATGTAAACACTCGTCGCAATATACTGGAATTGAATCGAGCGCTTACTGCGCGTTGTTATGGTTACTAAGCGTGTGGTCATGGTGAATTGAGCGCGCATAGCGTTGATGATCGAAAATGCTTGCTTATTTGTTATGTAAACTCGGCGTGTTGTAAATTTATCTACACAATTGTCACATAAACAAACTATCAGTATTATTGATTGTATTCACAGCATAGTAAATGCAACGTATGTCAAGGCTATAATGTTCATAAACAGGACTGTAATTTTCATAAACCGAATAGAGATTTGTCAGAATTACAGGCTGATTGCCGCTCAGTAAATGTAATATAAAGCCCCCGGCAGTTGAAACCAACTTGAATCGATGCATTTTCGGACACTGATTCAGAGTCACCTTTTAAGACACAGGGTTAAAATGCTTGCCTGAGAAAAAAAAACCAGTCTAGCTACAGCTTGTTCTACAGTGTACAGTTAAACCGCAGTTATTCTTATGAATATGTTTATGAACAGTGGCCAAAATTATCTGCTTTTGGGGCTCGGGCGAAAATTCCATTCATTAGTGTTAGCCAAATAGAAGAAAAAGAACAGTTTAATGGGAAGAATTCATTAGTTACTAAATTCAAATTTATCAATTAAACAATTTAGATTTACTCTCACATAATATATCGTATCACTACTGACAGTAGATCTAATTTCTCGTTCGATCTGATTTACATCTTGGTGACAGTAAAGGCCCAAACTTTGACCAGAATTGCATGAAAACCTGCCTTCTTTGAGTTTGTGAGAAAGTACGATGGAATTCACCCCAGCGCTCCTTATCAATTTTAAAGTGTCGGACACTCCACAAATTAGATATTGCGCACACAATCCGGTGAACGCTCTTTTTAGCCTGTACACTACTGTGTACCCCGGTTAACAGCAACAAATTTCAAACTATCCATTTTAATATTTAGTACCCTTCACTTGTATTTAATTTGTCTAAGTGAAAACAGGGTAAATGTCACCAAGATGTAAATCAGATCGAATAGACGCCGTTCGATCTGATTTACATCTTGGTGACAGTAAGCATAGTTGAATAAACCGGTGGTCGACATTTTGTCCCGGCCGATATTACCTCCATCCGGGCCGGTACCGGGATTTTTCCCATTTCTCTCCGTTAGAATGAAACAAATTTTAAATATAACCTTCAAGGACAAACTGGAATATGTTTATAAAGTCAAAACTGACACAGAACTCATATTTGTGATCTGGTATTAGTTACTTAAACTAATTTAATTTTAATTGAACATAGAGTTTGACGTTAGAGCTTTACACTTTACATACAACATAACCTTACCTGAATAATTGAATAGGGTGAATACTGGATAGCATTTATTAATACTTTCTTTACCCGGAGAACTGTTTTACTTTAACACAAGACCGTGAGCCGTGACATTACTATTAGTCGCAATAATGAAGTCATAATCGAGTCATATTTCTAGCATTTAAGTCAGAAAGAAGTCCATTACTCGTAAACGAAAATCTAAAATCGACTTCATGAAACCCATGATCATTTTAAATCTAGATAAACTCCCAGTCTCCAATGTTCAATGATTTCATCAAAATGTTTTAGGGAAATGTTTACAGATTTGCGAATTTTGGACTCACGTTGAAAAGAAAAACTGCGGTATCCCGGTAGAGCTCTGGAATAAACACTATCAGATACTCATACATTCTCTTAACAATCTTTCAGTATGATTGCATGATTAATTCAAAACTTCTCGAACATGTCAATAGGTTAGACAGACCCGCCACAGTCACGTGGATTTCACAGTTTAGTTAGCCCCTGGGCACAGATTTTATGTTCATGGAACGTATTGCTTATAAAAAATATAATAATAACCCATCGATTACCATAGTTAAGTCAATAATAGTCCTCGATCTTTTGAACGTATATGCTACATTAACGATTCTAGCCTTAAATCAAGGCGCAAAGATTTCTACGAAGCCATTTTTTCAGCATTATAGTTTCTCAAAATATGCTCGGTGGTAATCTTCTCCGTTACTTCAACTTGTCCACGTACCTCATCATCAAACTCAAGTCTGGACACTGAAAATGAGAAATTTTAAATTCAAATAAATTATCGAACTTTAGATAAAAGTTCCACTTTCACAAAATAATTTATCACGCAAAACATACGTTATCTGATTCGGGGGAGGGGGGGGGGGGGGGGGGGGGGGGGGGGGGGGTGTCCAACCGGGGGTATTTTACTACACCTAATTAAATAATTACACCGGCAAAAAAATGTTAACCTGGCATTAAGTAAGAATGTAGTTTACAGACTGCGGTTGTTCTATAGTCGACTTATCTCCTTGACCAACAAAATGCTGTGCTTCCAACACTAGACATAGGATTTCCTCCTGAGATATGTTTGATACATAAGAAATTGTGTAGTTATTACATCACACGATTGTTGAGGCGTTCTGATGGTTAATATGGGGACAATATTACATCAATTATATTTGATTTTTGTAAGATTTTGAACTCAAAATCACTCAGCACACTATACTTATAGGAGAATGAACAAGCAGTTGAATTGGAACAGAGATAATTCTTTTGACTGAATGGATATATTTGAATGGATATATTTTAGAAAAATAGATACAACTAACCATGTGACTGTTGTTCTACAGTCGACTTATCTCCTTGACCAACAAAATGCTGTGCTTCCAACACTAGACATAGGATTTTCTCCTGAGATATGTTTGATACATAAGAAATTGTGTATTTATTACATCACACGATTGTTGAGGCGTTCTGATGGTTAATATGGGGACAATATTACATCAATTATATTTGATTTTTGTAAGATTTGAACTCAAAATCACTCAGCACATTATACTTATAGGAGAATGAACAAGCAATTGAATTGGAACAGAGATAATTCTTTTGACTGAATGGATATATTTTAGAAAAATAGATACAACTAACCATGTGGCACCAATATAAATAGCTTGGGTAGTATTAATTCAAATTGCTGAGATCAGGGAAGGCAGTCTTCGCAATAATCCTGCAAAAAGAAACAATTTAATCTTTCAGGGTGACACATGACTTTTAGTTTCTTCAGATCATAGCTGGTTCGTGTCTTTGTATGTAGGAAAAATGTATTATGATTTATTCCCACGTGTTAGTGAGTTGTGATTTGGAAGTTCTAAAATGCATACGAACCAACTATAATAGAAATAAAATCTTGAATATAAAATGCCAGATAGGATATGTAATTAATGGTGCAGTACAAACACGTTTGTAATCGGCATACCGGCAAATGACGATGAATAGTAATTGGTGTGCTGGGTGTGGAGTGAACCGGCAGGTTCAGCTAATTATTGACTATGTTAAACAAACCCTATCTTAATCTACACCTTTACCCTTACCTTTCTTTAACTCTTTAAATAAAAATGCTGAATAAGCCGTGTATTGAAATTGAGCGTTATGTATTGATTTATGAATCATCTTTTTTAAAGTCTAAATGTTGACTAATACTGTCTATACCGTTACTCCTGAAAGTCTGAAATGTCGCATATACATTATACATATTTATAAAGGACGAAACACTGTGTCTATGAATTTATATACAGGGTGGGCCAGAATAATCGTTTGATTCTTAAATCTAGAATTTGCTGCAAGGTGCCGAGATCTTAATTATTACTAATTAATTACATATTAAAAAATTTAAATAACTTTCGTTCTGATGAAAATTTTTACAGAATGTCAATAATGATTAGAAAAAATTTTTGTGCAAAGTTTTTTGGGTGAATTAAGGGGGCAGGGGGGGTCTTTATGAAATTTCTCTCGAAATTGATTTTATAGTTGTTTCTGATAGAGGGGAGTGATATCTATCTGCTGCTTTTGATCCCATGGAAAAATATTGTTCCTAGCCGAATTTATTGCCGGTTAAAGGTCGTCAAAAAACGAGGTCAAAGGTTTTAAAAATCGAAATTTTTCTAAGGCCATCTTAAAATTCTGATCGAATGGAATCTTTTAAATGGTCCTTAGAACATATCCTGAAAGTTTCAGGATGATTGCTCAAAAAATTTAGAAGAATTTTGGACTCGATTTTCAGGGCACGCGATTTAAAATCGCTCGCACAATACAATGACACATCAGTGCTGGCCTTTGACCGACAATAAATTCGGCTAGGAACAAAATTTTTCCATGGGACCGAAAGCAGCAGATAGATATCACTCCCCTCTATCAGAAACAACTATAAATCAATTTCGAGAGAAATTTCATCAAGACCCCCCCTGCCCCCTTAACCTGTCCAACATGGAATCAGATTACAATAGAGTTCAAGGTAATGGTGATCTGAGTTTTGAAACAAAATAAAGAATAGTGCGGC